TCAAATACCGATCGTTCCAGAGGATATCGAGAAGGCAGCGCTTATCACGCCGTTTGGCCTCTTGGAGCCGTTAATGATGATGTTCGGCTTGCGCAATGCAGCGCAAACTTGTCAGCGTTTCGTCGACGAAATTTTACGCGGACTTGATTTTGTATTCGCGTACATCGACGATTTTTTGATTGCATCCGAAAACGAGGAGCAGCATCTCGAGCACATGAAAATTTTTTTGATCGCTTATCGACTTACGGCGTTGTAATTAATCCGGCGAAATGTGTCTTTGGCGTAAGCGAAATAACCTTTCTCGGTTATACGGTGAACGCAGATGGCATTTCTCCAATGCAAGAGCGCGTCGAAGCGGTGTCTGAATTTTCATTGCCCACTACCGTGAGAAGCTTGCGCCGTTATCTCGGAATGTTTAACTTTTATCGCAGATTTGTACCTCGCGCTGCTGAAATTTTGCAACCTTTAAACGACTTATTGGTTGGCAAGAAAAAAGGCAAAGACCCAGTCAATTGGACTGACACAGCTCGCGACGCGTTTGCAAATTCAAAAAGTGCTCTCGCTACTGCAACTATGCTCGCGCATCCCGCACCCTGCGCGCTTATCAGCATTGTAGTCGACGCTTCGGATTTTGCAATGGGCGGCGCGCTGCAACAATTCGTAGATAATGCATGGCAACCTCTAGCCTTTTACACTAAGTCTTTCACGAAAACCGAACGCAAATACAGTGCGTATGACCGCGAACTTTACGCTATATACAGCTCTGTCAAACGTTTTCGTCACATGGTAGAAGGCAGAGAATTTATAATTTTTACTGATCATAAACCGATAACTTATGCTTTTAATCAAAATTTAGATAAATGTTCTCCGCGTCAATTCCGACATTTAGACTACATATCTCAATTTACTACTGATATTAGGCATATTAAAGGTTCTGAAAATTGTGTTGCCGATGCATTATCTCGCGTTGAAGCTATATCTGCATTCTCGCAATCAGTCGATCATGACGCTCTCGCTTCCGCTCAGAAAAACGACGAGGAATTACGCAAATTGTTATCAGCCGAAAAATCTACTAGAAAATCGGATTTCAAACTGCGAAAAGTACACTTTCCAGATCAAGACGTGCATTTATATTGTGATATGACGAGCGACGTCGTACGGCCTTATGTCCCTTTACCTTTGCGTCGCGCGATATTCAATTCGTTGCACAGTCTTTCTCATCCTGGCATGCGTGCTACTCAGCAGCTCGTTGCTTCGCGTTTCGTTTGGCCGTCTATGAACAAAGATTGCAGAGAATGGACGCGCGCGTGTATTTCGTGCCAGCGATGCAAAGTTACTCGACATGTTTCCTCTCCCGTTCAGCAATTCGAGAAATTAGCTAATCGATTCGAGCATATTCACATTGACATTATTACCATGAGTTATAGCCAAGGTTTTAAATATTGCTTAACAATGATCGATCGCTTTTCTCGCTGGCCCGAAGTCACACCAATGGCAGACATGGAAGCCAGTACTGTCGCGAATGCATTGCTTTCTACGTGGATTTCTCGCTTTGGCGTTCCTTCACGAATTACAACCGACCAAGGACGCCAATTCGAATCGGAACTTTTTGCGGAATTGTGTAGGTTGTTAGGTACTAAAAGAATTCGTACGACAAGCTACCATCCCCCTGCAAATGGTCTGGTAGAGCGAATGCATAGGCAACTTAAAGCAGCAATTAAGTGTCACGATGGCGACGATTGGGTTTCTGTCTTACCTATTGTCCTTCTCGGCATTCGAACTGCTATAAAAGAAGACCTCGGAGCAACTGCCGCCGAGCTCGTTTATGGCTCAGGTCTACGTCTGCCTGCGGAATTTTTCATCACCAAAATCCCACTTCGACCTTTGTTGATAATTTAAAACAACGCGTTAACAATGTCAAGCCGTCGCTCGTGCTTCGGCACGGTGAGAAGCCAATCTTTGTATTCTAAGACTTAGCCCATACACCTTTTGTTTTTATACGTCATGATGCTGTACGCGGCCCGTCCGATCCGCCGTATGATGGACCATATAAAGTCATCGAGCGCAACGATAAATCTTTTGTAATTGAAATTAACAATAAAAAGGTTCGCGTCTCAATTGATAGACTTAAGCCCGGTTTTATTTTAGCAGACAATGTTGAAAAACTCGCCGAAGAAAAACAAATGTACGACGATGACGACAATGATGATATTGTAGTAAAATATAATCGCGGAAATGTTACGTTTCACGATCAGGCCGCTCCTGCACCGACTAATGTACAGCAGGCAAGGCCTTCGAATTCAAATGTAAACGTCGAGAATAATAATAACGCTTCTCTTCCTACGCGACATAGAAGAATACCAGATCGATTCCAAGCTAGTTTTAAGTAGATTTAATATTATTTTTTTACTATTATAATCATTTTCATGTATGTTATTCTCTAGCATTGTAATTTTACCTTATTTTTAGCAGCGTAATCTTATATTAATGTAATTCATTATATTGTTTTTTTTTTACGTTGCGTTATCACTGGTAAGGGGGTGATGTGGCGTGCGCTCTCTCATCAAATGTTTGGCAGATGTTCATACTTTCTCTCAACAAACATTGTAAATCTCGCAGCCACTGCCGCGACGGTCCCGCGCAATAAAATAGAAAACGTCTGGCCGCCGACGCGCCTGACCCTTTTTTTTTGTAAGCTCGCAATAAACCGTCCTTTCGGCTGCTCCGCTATTTTGAGAAAACGCACGCCCGTCCCTCGCTAATTACCCTCAGTCCCAGCGACTGTTTTCCTGCGCCCCGCGAGAGGGACTTTTCCCTTCCACCTCGCTTTCGGCGTTAATGAGTATACCTCGCTGGGGGTGTATCGACACTCTCGCTCGAACCGGCGACCCGCGCTGATCTCGGCCTCTCTGCCTGATCTGCTTGTCCGCGTTCTGCCGAGTCACACAATTGACACTAGTGACCTTCTGTATTAGTTTTAGTTACTTTGAATAAATCATTATTAAAGCTTATATTCACCCAACCAAATCACCTCATATGTTTAAATGTTGCAGAGACTTGAAAAGGGTTACCAAAAATGTAACCGAAACGTCGTCGACATAATAAAAACAATTTATTTGACAGTATAGCCCGCCTAGTCTAAATTATTTATTTTACAATTATTACTGTCAGTAGAATCAAACAATTTAATTTAGAATTGTCTTTTGCTAAACGAATGAACTCTTATAATGATTTTTGTAATAAAGGGATTGGAGTAATGTCATATTTTTTTAACATAAAAGAACATTTTTTAAAGATGTTGCAATTATTTAGTATAGCGACTACAGCTAGTTTTTGATTTATTAATTTTTTAGAATTCTTCTTCCTTTTTTTATATTTGCTAATCCGTTTGTGTATGTGTTTTTTGATAAATTCAGATGAATAATTATTCTTTTTCAGGATATTAGTAACTATTTTTAAATTGCGTGAACGAAATCTTTTGTCAACAAGTAAAAACACCCGGTCAACTAAATTTGAAACTATTTTAACTTTTTGATGAATTGTATGTTCTGAGTTAAAAAAATTTCTGCCAGTTTGTGTTGTTTTTCTAAACCAGTCATATTCTAATTTATTATTATTTCTAATCAATTTCAAGTCGAGAAATGGAATAAAATTATTCATTTCAATTTTAAACGTAAATTGTAATCTATTATGATAAGAATTGAACGCCTCGACAACTAAATCAATTTTATCTTTCGGAACGCACATCAAAGTATCATCAACATATCTATAGTAGAAAACAGGATTAATTTGATATTTATTCCACAACACGTTCAGGCAGTGTTTCTCTAAGTCTTCCTTTACAATATCAGCCAATAAAGGAGAGATAAGGGAGCCCATCGGGCTTCCAAATATTTGTTTATAATGAATTTTGTTGAACACATAATATGTATTATTAAATAAAAATTTTATACCTCTCCGAATTTCTTCTATTGGAATCTCACAATTTTTAATTTATTCGTAACGTTTGTCCAATCTCTCCAAGACTAAATCACAAGATATGTTCGTGAATAAGGAACTTACATCTAATGATGTTAAAACATGATCATTTGGAATAAAAATATCTTTCAATTTCTGTTTTAACTGTACACTGTTTAAAATATGAGAGTTAGATTTATTTATAACTGTTTGAAGAGTACTATATAAGAGTTTTGCCAGTTTGTGAGTAGGGCTGTTAATTAATGAAATTATTGGTCGTAGTATCATATTTTCTTTATGTATTTTTGGTAATCAATAGTATTTTGCTATAGATGTGTCGGTTCGAGTCAAATCACTATTATGCCAATATTTATTCAGAAAACCATTATGATTTCAATCTTTTAAAATCATTTTTACGTATCTTTGTAATTTTTTCAGGGGGTTTCATTTAACTTTGATATAAGTGATATTATTATCTAATAAAGTATTTATTTTTTCTAAATATTCTTTTTTCGACATGACTACTCCATCCACCGTATTCTCCAGATTTAGCCCCGTGCGACTTCTTTTTGTTTCCAAACTTGAAAAAGTCACTCGCCGGGCAGAAATTTGAGTCGAATGAGGAGGTAATCGCTGCCATGGAAGCCTACTTTTCAGACCTCGAGGAAACGTATTTTTCAGACGGGTTAAAGAAGTTGGAGCATCGCTGGGCCAAGTGTATTGAACTAAAAGGAGACTAAGTGGTAAAATAAAACGCCACTTTTCCAAAATTTTCGTTTTTCTTTTGTAGGCTAAGTACTTGTCGGACCACCCTCGTATATTTTTTAAGGAATTCAACTTTTCAGATTTTCTAGCACGTTAGGAAGCTTTTCATCGGGAACGAAGGCCGAAGTAGCGCTGGTGAGGAGATGGAAGGTTGATAGACCTTCCAAGTCTTCTAAGCCAGCAATCAGTGGGCTCAATAGTTGGGAGTTAAGGCAGGCCTCGATTTGGGTTAACATCGGAGTCAACTCTTCGAAAGTCAGGGTGTGATCGCCGACAGTTCATTTGTGTTTGACGGATCTCACTCCGGCTTCCCATAAGCCTCCACAGTGGGGTATGTTTGGTGGGATAAACGTCCAAGTTACTTTATCCTTGGCCAAAACAGCGGCAGCTTGGTGATAGGTTGTGGAAGCAGCTTTGAACATGGCCTTGAGCTCCGTGTCAGCGTCTCCGAAATTGGATGCATTGTCGCTATACAGATGGGCGCATATTCCTTGACAAGCTACGAAGCGTGGGAAAGCGGTGATAAATGTGTTTATGATTAAGTCACTGGCAAGTTCCAAGTGTACGACCTTTGTAGCGAAGCATACGAAAAGCACAATGCACCCCTTGTACGAGGCTTTTCCTCGGCCTTTGGAGGCACGTACTTGAATTGGGCCGGCGTAGTCGACACCGCAGTGAGTAAATGGTCTGGCTGGTGTCACACAAGGTGCTGGCAAATAACCCATGAGCTATTAAGCTAGTCAAGGTTTGTGCCGTTGGTAGGTGACACATCTTCGGATGGCAGTCTTCACAAGAGGTCGCATCCGTAATATCCGTGCGTGCTGCATTAGTATATTCGATGATTTAATTATAATGAGGGTAGAGCCGCCGTGTAGAGCGAGTCGATGAGCTGAGCGAACATACAGAATGCTAAGCGCAGAGTCACGCGGAAGAATCGGTGAAGGCGTATCGATAGCGACGCCAATTCAATAAGATCAGCCCGAGGTCGTGTTCAAGCGGTGGACCCTTCATCAAATAATTATTGAGACAGTGTTGCTCCTGTGTCCGACAAGAGGCATTGAATACTCAGCTTATACTTTGGAGATGTTTGCACGACCATATGGTGGGGAAAACCATACTGGCGGGTTCTTAAGTTCGGTTGACGGCATCAGTGCCATGTGCTTGAGTTTAATATACTCATTCATGAAATCGCGATAAGCCTTTTCCAAGCGCAGATCCTGAGCAAAATGGAAACCGCACTGTGTAACGTCCATCGCGATCGCGTGAATGCGTGTCGGCAAACAACCTTTCACACGCTTCATCGAGGGGATTCAATTTGTGAAACGTCTTGAGCACTTCTTCGAGAGTCTAAAGGCCTTGTATCGAGTCGTCTAAGTTAAAAGTTTTGCAGTGCATTGAATAAAAAGGTGGGGCGTTCTCTGCCCGCGATGATGTCTGCTGTTCGAATGGGCTCGAAATTACCCAATGGAGAGCAGTGTTTTGAGCAGTTAGTTTCAAATCGGGCAAATATCTAAGGCCAACTCGTAATAATTGACCATAAAAGTCTGGTCCTATCAATAAATCAATTGAATCTGATAGGTTAAAATGTGGATCGGTTAGTGTAAGGTTTGGAATTGTCGCAGAGTCAAGTTCAACCACACTGCGAACCGGTAACTGCGACCTAAGGTCTGGTAAAACGAAGGCTTCCATCTCGAGTTGGAATCTTGGGTAAGCGCGAGATTGCAAAGTAAAGTAAATGGCTGAGCGTACGATTCCAGCCTTGCATCCTCCGATACCAGTTAATGTGGTCTGGACTTTATGTTGAGGCAATCCCAATTGCTGCTATAATGCTTCAGAAATAAAGGTCGCTTCGAAGTCGTTGTCAAGAAGAGCACACGCACGTACTCGCGAGCTACTATTGCCGATAACGTCAATCTAAGCGGTTGCCAAGAGTATGACGCGTTGGGCGTCCGAGTGATGACAAGTATGGATTGAGCGTCCGCTTATCAATCCGACGTTAGCAATGTTCACGTTTACATTCTTTGAAGGTTGAGCCAGGCCTAAGTTAGGCGTAGCATCTGTCTGTGTTTGACCGAAACCACCTTGATTACCAAGTTTATGCGATGAGTCATAATGAGAGTGTGGCGTTTTTTGTTGGCAGTTGCGGCAGCGGCCTTTCGATTTGCATTGTTTAAAGGGGTGATTTTGAAGGCAATTGAAGCATAGTCGGAAGGTACGCACGTCAGTTCTACGATCGAAGGCCTTTTTTGTAAGAAGGTCAGACACCGCCAGGAAATGGGGGCCTTTACACATAAAACATATGACCTCGCTCGTGGCTGTTACGTCTGACGAGAATGCAACGTGATGCGTACGTTTTGTACCAGTCACCGGTTTTTAGTGTTTGCTGCTTTATTTTGGCACGTTTCGAATCAAGAAAGAGCATGCAGAGTGTTCGCGACCGTTGCTCCAAAAATTTGGTGAACTCTTTAAATATTTTGAGAGGATTGGCGACATCGTTAGTAAGTGGGATCGCTACGTCCTTAATGCTGAGCATTGACTCTCAAAGTCGCCGAGACTCGGGGTCTAGTCGTGAAGTTAAGAAAAACACGATCCATTTATCCTAGTACTCAATTGGCATATTCCGATTACATAAAACATGTACGATACGCTGGACTTCATCAGTGAAGTATCGGAAGGCTTCAGAAGACTCCTCTTTTAGGCTCGGTATATCCATCAAATTTTAAAGTTTATGATTCACGATAAATCGCGGATTTTGAAAGCGATCATTCAAGGCCTTCCATACATCCGTCTACTTGGCTTTAGAGTGTGACATGCATTATAATATGTGTACTGCTTGTTCCTACATGTACGATTGCAGCGAAATCAGTTTTGTCGATTCAGGCATGCTAAACTGGTCGTATACGAGCGTGGTGAATAAATCGCAAAAGTGTTCCCAATCATCACAATTCTCGGAGAATTTCGACATTTCAATTCGCGGAAACTTTGCATGTACAGGCGACGGCGCATATATATTGGTTTGAGTGAGCCCCTGGCTGGAGCGCAGAGAGCTGAAGTCCTCCTCAAGGCTCACTACGGGTCGCGATGTGATTCTATCAGTTTCATATACGATTTAATGCGCGGTTTCAAATTCTGCAAGCAGGGTTGAAAGAAAGATTTTTTCGTTCAGATATGTCTCGACCTTTGGCTCCTCGCTAGATATAATATTTTGGTGAGTCACACGCGACTCATCCCAGACTCACTGTAGTTCGTCATTACACTGATGCACGATATTGGCATTGTATGTCTTGCGCTCTCTCTGTCTCAATCGGTCACTCGTACCAAGAATCTCGGAAACCCGATCTCGCTCGATAAGTTGTGCGATTGACACAGCCATTTTAATAATCAGACAGCGTGGAACTTTACTTATGAATAATGAAAGCGATAACTCGCTCTCGTACAGATACGCAGACGGCCGGTTTATTGCCACTTTCACAGTAATTCTGAGAGTTGTTAATATGCGACGTTATAGTTATTTCAATACCTATGCACTAACATCCAATCCTTACCCGGGGCACCATGTTTAATTTATAATCAAATATCAATAAATATTATGTTGCAATTAGTAAGCAAAGATAAGGTGAGATTAGATATAAGAAATCGATTACAATATGTGTGGTTTGTGAATTCAGTAAAGGAGCGATTGGATATGTGATGCACGTTGAACTAATGAGTCGGAGTTAAGCTAAACAATATTATGATTTATTCAGGTATTTTGATAATAAGTGACTCTAAATCAAGAAGAAAAATTGGCATAAAAACCCCTCTGAACTGAAAGGAAAAAGCCGTAAGTTAACTAAAGCTAAGAAATTGACAATACTAAAATATGATGATTTGGTGAGCAGGAAACAATTAGATTAAGACGCAACGCTATTGATATTTACTAGTCAAATGCATTTGAGTTACGCACGCGCATTAAGAGCTCTTTTACCTTAATTATAATAGGTCGGTCCTGTCCGTGTAGAGACCCAATACACACACTGCTTAGTGTCTTGAACGTCTCGAGTACGGGGACAGCCCTTACTCCAAGGCGGATACGAACGAGTGACTCGGTTTGAGAGGTACCGTCGCTAAGTAATGGGTTCTCGGGACGGCTGCTATCTCATGTGAATACGGATAGCGAGGACACCCCACGAAACTGCACTGAGCTTTGTCACAGTCGCTGCTAGATTCAGACACGGGCGCACAGATAACACAAGTAACGTACGAATAGCGCACCAATGCACGACAGAAATGATTAGCTGCAGAGCTCAATCAACACAGAAAAGAATCGCAAGTACAGGGGTATGTAGCCGCAGAGGAATCGCGTCGATTGCTCGTGCGGAAGTGTCTTGCAGTCCCAAGTCTTTGGCGAAAAGCTTGATGAAAATAAAGGCGGCCGAGCTACCTGGAGGTAGACGCTACGCTAACCCTTTTTTTATGAGTTTTGGAGACGAGGATATGCCAATCCGGAAATCGAGAGGCTTAAGCCATATGCTTCATGGCGTATTTATTTTTGAGAAAGTGGTCCTTCGACAATAAAAAGAGCATTTACATCTGCGCTACAGGCCGTTAGGTTAGGATATTAAATATTACTATCGGTAGTTAGATGTTTTTACGGAGCGAGCGCATCTGTGGACCATATTTTGAGAAGAAAGCTAAGTGAAAGTGGCAATAGTCTGTTATGAGAGTAAACGGCTCGAACATTAATATTGTTCCTTATTAGCGATAGTACGTGTTTTATTAGTAGCCCACGATACTTTCCTATAGAGTAACAGTGATCTCGAACTTTTATATCTTTATCATTGAACCGCTTCTTAAATATATAACAAATTTTGGCAAAATGATAATTGAGTGTCTCGTCCAATGATATACTCATAATCGGATGTGTTATGATGTCGTTATCATGTCATACAAACCATGCAGCTGGCTTAAGATTGGCAACGGCTTTTCGCCAGTAACTTTTACAGTATGAAAGAATTCATTACAGCTGCACTACAAAAATCTAATACAATATAATTTGTGACGCTGATAAATACGCTCTTGATCGAGTATAGGTTCTAGTAAACTCTCAATATCAGCATATGCAAAATATTATTATTGTTATTGTTATTGTAACTTCCAAATTACGGCTGCATGGAACGCTGCAGAGATAAACTAAGTACGTGTATGCATTAGTCTTGGTTCCCTATAAAAAGATAAAGTTTTAGACGCATCACCACTGGATTTACAGTTTAAGGTGGAATCCGAACCACCGGAATCACAATAACTGACATATGAAAATTGCATTCCTGAAAATCCTCATATATCCAGGGCTTGAACCCACAATCTCTTGCTCAGAAGCCTGGCCTCTTACCCGCCAAGCCACCGTGATCCCATATGGCGCAGGACATTCATTCTTGAATTTGTTGAACTATGAAAACTTGTCTTTTTCACAAGAAGTAAATTTAAACATGTTCATGTCTTTATAATTAGCATCATGAACTTTTATTTTTTCGTTCTTAAAATATTACAGATCATGTTCGCCTATGTAGGTTTTCGATCGATATATTAGGTGTACAAATAAGTTTCTGCGGTTTGTCAAAAGATGGCTCCACCAGAAGGTTATGGAGAAATTGTCAGATGTAAAATGTAATATCCCAAGTTTTGTCATCCGGCAACACCATAACCTTAAAGTACTAGTGATTCCGTATCAGCATCACGTAATTTT